TAGTTCCTTCAGTATCCTGTCCAAGATGTGTTTACTAAACTGCAAGCATATTGTGGTGTCATGTGGGAGACTGTAGCACTGGGCGTGATTTTTTTTAAAGAAACCTGTTGCCAAGCAGGGCATTTAGTAGGCACATCATTTAAACATAGCACGAGTTTGGATCCTTAGAAACTACCAGAGAGAGAGAATGTCTGTGTAAAGTACAAATGATTACCATCTTTTTTTTATGAATATTAATACATGTATATCTTTTGGGCTCCATGATGAGTTGTACAGAGCACAGACTTGCTTTGCTGGGTTATGGTGAATATTTTTAGAAGCCCTTTTGGGGTAGCACAAGTTTGCTGTGCTTCATATTCAGCTTTCAAGTTATTGGTTGTATAAAATGGTGATTTTTGCCTGTATTTAAATTGTGCTGATTTCTTAAAGTGAGTTGCATGAAGGTGTCAGTGAAGTGATGATAATATTTGATACACTTATCGGACGATGCCAGCTGCAGCTCAGAACGAGAGAATGTAGTGGCTTGCAGTCCTCCAGTGTCTGTATTTGAAACTGTCTTACTGTGTTCTTTCTTCTTCTTTACTGAATTTCATTTGTGCAATTTAAAGTCATGACTTATAATCTAATGTGTGTCATCTACTCAATGGTAATTCAGTAAGTCATTATGTGTTTCTTCGAGTGTAAAAGCATGTGCAGTATAAATGTTAATGAGCCATGATATAGTAAATTTCATGTCTTTATGTTTTATCTTTGAAAGGAGGCTCAAGCATCTTTTGTCAAATGAATGTTTGTTTTGTGTTTTCTTCTCCTGAAAGTCTTAATTTGTCTTACTCAGTGGTGTCTCTGCAGGCAGTAGAACATACCTTTACTTCATTCCATCTTCCTTATTTCTCCTGAAAATGAAATAGTCACTCTTCTGTTTACATTTGATGATGGTAATATAAGCACACTTACAAAGTCTGGATGACCTTCATGTTAAAGTGAGATTTGGTATTTTTTTGTAAAGTGTTGAGTGACTCTTGTTGCGGATGTTTTATTTATACATATATATTGCTTGTCGTCTTATCTCATGGTTCTGTGCCTTCATTATTATAATTTTAACTTTACAGGATTTATTTGATTGATCTAATTGCATTCTTGTTTTCAGGGGATAATCAATGTGGTCATTGGCAGACAGGCCGCAGGACCACGACCATATGAAAGTATGTTTGCCATCAGACTTCGCAACACCATCACAGGGGAACTCCATTGGCTACATCAAGATCTTACTATGTACCAAGTTAGTAACTGATTGCAATTTCCATGATTAATATCTTCCATACACGGTGCTAGGAGTGCAGAAGTTTTCTTGTTAGTATAATATTTTTGTGTATTATTATTATTATTATTATTATTTGATATCTTGCATATGTGAAGTTATGGTTTTAATTAGCTTTGTATATATGCAGCCACACTTCTCTCCCAGGCTATATCTTCCTTTCTTTATATCAAAGTTACACTATAATTGCTACTGCTTTCTCTCTAAATAAACAAACCCAATCCACAGGTTGAAGAGAAATACCCAGATTACCAGAGTGAGGACTGGAGATTCGAGCTCCGGGTCCGCTACGTCCTTTCAGACCTCCACCAGCTCTACGACAAAGACCGCACTACGTTCTGCTACTACTATGAACAGGTCAGAATCTCTCTTGGTTATTTTGTGCTCTTGTGTAAGATTTCTGTTTTTAGTTTGTGAATCGTTCCGTGTGTCTTGAGTAAATAGAGATGGTAGCTATTATATGTAATTAATGATTTTGTTTTTCTCCCTCTTTATAGGTGAAAAATGACTATTTCGAAGAAGACGGCCGAGGAAACGAAGGCATTGATCAGGAATCGGCAATTCAGTTAGCTTGTATTGAAATTAAGCGAATGTTTAAGGTATGTCTTGATATTGTGAAAGAGTATGTTTTGCAATATATATATATATTTTTTTTCCACATAAATTTTTATTGCAGTTATCATTCATTTATGTAATGGAGCAAAACTGCTTACTTATATTTGGAGACATAATGACATTATTTATAACCAATACTCATTTCCCTCTCCTCCCCCCCAAATTCTTCAGGACATGAATGGGAGCACCCTGGAGAAGAAATCAAACCTAGAGTTTCTGGAGAAGGACGTCGGCCTGCACAAATTCCTTCCATCTTCAATCCTAAACACAGTCAAGCCCAAAACGCTGCGCAAGTCACTCCAGCAACACTTCAAGAAATACGGCCAGCTGTCAGAGTCTGAGTGCTTCTTTAAATTCCTAGAACTGTTAGGCAAAGGCAGGAAATATGACCAGGAGTCTTTCCGATGTGCTCTGGGGGTAAGTGTGCTTTTTTTTTTTTCCATTTCATTGTTTTCTGTCTTTATTCTTTTCTGTGTGTAATATGAAAAATATTGTTATATAGTTTCTGAAGTATAAGGAACTTTTTTTCATGGGATGATATCACATATATTTCACTCAGTAATTTGTAAATATGCCATATATTTTTCTTTCCTATTTTGTTACTGTTGTTCTTTTTTAAATCTTGAGAGATTTTTTCTGTCTCTTTATGGTTAAATGAATGTATTAATATGTTTTATTTCCAATTTGCAGTCTGGTTGGTCAATTCCAGTCACCCTGCTGGTGGGCCCTTCAGTTGGGATTTCATACACAACAGATTCTGCATCAAAGGTAGAGCTGAAGCTTAGATTTCTTGATTCATTATCTCTGATGCTGGATAGTGATTTTTTGTGTTGCAGGCAGTTTATTTATGTGAAAGAATTTTTTTATAATTATTCATATACCATTTTTATAAGATATTGCACATACATTACATAGACAGTGTTATTTCTTATTAAATGGATTTATCTTACAAGAAAGTCTTGGTGTCGATTGACATTTTTGATATTGTCTTTCCAGCCTCACCACATGGCAAGCTTTGAACAAGTCCAGAGTGTAGAGACACTAACCACAGACTGTGATACCCACCGCAAGGCCCTTGTACAACTCAAGGTAGGTTGGCTTGTGTCTCCTATTACTGTTCTCTTTTGTTATACTTTTCTTTTTGCTCAGAATATCTTTTTAAATCTCTTCTCTTTTTTGCTTCTTATTTTCCAGCTTTTTGCCTTACTTTTCATATTCCTGTGTTCTTCCTCACTCATTTTATTAATTTGATATGATTAAATTCTAGATCATTGTGTCTATAAAAAAAAAAAAAAAATCTTTTGACATTGAATAACCTTCCCCAATGGCTGTCATTCTGAAGGTGGCAGGAACAGCAGAGGCGCTGACAGTCACGTGCCCGAGCATAGCTGCCGCCGAGAGCCTTGCAGACCTGATTGACGGTTACTGCCGCCTTGTAAACAACACACGCACGTCCTTGTGGAATACAAAAGGTAGGAAGGGCAGGGAAAGTATAGGGTTTTCTGTGTCTGGATAATAGATCCATGTATTAGGTTTATCTTCCTCTCTCTCTTCTTTTCTTTTCTTTTTTCTCTTCATTCAAAAAGAAGAGCAGATATGATGTGTCTGTGTGTGTATGTGAAGGGGATTGTCCTGTTGAAAAAGGACTTTGTGTTGATATTTCTAGCTGTTGTTATGTAATTGATAATGTGCTTTTTTTTTATATCTAAATTTCTTGAAGCCATCTTCCTCCAGATAGAGAAAATATATGACTTTAAAACATCTTTTTTTAGAGATAGAAAGACTTTGATGGTTTTCTTTAGTAGCATACCTTTGACAGTGATTCATCAAATCTATAGCCAAAGACTGTCAATGACTGTTATGTTGAGGGTTTAATCCAACAAAAGCAATAGTAATGTCTGTATACCTTATCATAAACAGCAAATTCACTGAAGGAGCCACAATAGATTACTTAGCCACTCAGCAGATAGGTTGTTAAGTACTGGATGTTAAGTACTTATAGGTTGTTAAGTACTGGTCAGTTTTGCTAAGTGAATTCATATTTTTTCCTAACTTCTTTTCAGTGATTAGATGGCTCTTAATGGGATGAATAAAATTTATTAGTACAGTCTCTGGGAAAATGTGTTCATTATAGTATTGTTTCATGAAATGTCTCTACACAAAGATGGCTCTGCAAGTGCTTAGCCACAGATGAGTCAATTAGTAGAACTTGTGATCTCACTTGATTTCACCTTTCCTTGATTTTTTTTTTATTAATGCTATCAATATCAGTGCTGTCATTTTTATATTGAATATTATAATTATTATAGTGTTATTAACATTACTAAATAGCAATATTAGATACCAGAAAATACTTTTAAAAATTGATCAAAAGGGTAAACAGGTGAAACAGGTAGTACTTGTAATTGGCTCATTGGTGACTTAGTACTTTTGGAGCCATCTATGTGTAAAAACAATTAAGAGATTAAACTCACGGTGGGCATGGCATGTACATACATGCCATCCCCATTGGCTTTGGGTTAAAATTGCCCAATTGCACAATCATGAAGCATTAACAACAGCTAGAAAATAAAAACATGTAAATAAAAATTACAAATATCATGGTAAAAAAATAAAGAAATGCTGATTCGTAGTACAAACAAATTTTTTTTTAGCATAGTGATAATTCCAAAGAGGAAAAGTGTGTTGATATTTGCAAGTGTTTTGAAAAGGTCTTTACTTAGAACATAAATGTTAACAATCTAATACTGGAAACAGCTCATTTAAACAGATCTGGCTACTAACATGTATGCTTATTTGCCATTCACTTATTTTGACCGAGAAAGACTTGGTTTGATTTAGTTTGTGTATTTGGAAAGCAAATTTAAGACAAGCAGTATTTAAAGAGAAATAAATTGCTAATTGAGTGAAACTAATATTTGCTTTTAGTAACTTGTGGTTGAATATTAAACAGAGTTTGGTTAAAGCATTATTTGATTTTGTTTGGCTTTTTGTTTTCCAAATCCACAAACCTTTTGACTTTTTTCTTACTTTTTTTTAACTTCTTTTTTTTTGTTTTAGTGCAGACAGGATTAACATGAAGATGCCATTGTTTGGTGTAGGTCTGCCACCACATTACTGTAAAGTGACTAATTCACTGAGTGTTTTAAATATCTCTTAATATGTATACTCAAAAAAGGAACATACCAATTTTGCCTGTTATGTAAATAAACTTTTGGCTAATAGCTTTTTGCTTTTACAAATAACACTTTATTATGGCTGATCATACTGTTGTTATGTAATGTACTGTGTGTTAATTGTTAATATTAAGTGATTTAGAGCTTATAATTGTTGGTAACTGTTCTGCCCATTACAGTGTGGTGTACAGTTGTGCATTCTCAGGGTTCTCAGTGGCTATGGTGTCCAGGCAAACAGAGGGGTTTGTTTGCTCATAAGAATAACTGGCTCACATTTTAAAAGGAAATCATATAGTTGTTAAAGTTCACCTGAGACTGTGTTGAGTGTGTTAAGATCATGTTAATGTACTTATGAATATGAAAAATGTGAAGTTGATAAAATTCTCAGTGAGCATCCAAATCTCATTTCTCCAAACTCTACCTCTTCAAATAACCTTTTCACCGGGGAGGGAAAGATAGCCGAAAGTGGCAGAAGAGACGAAAAGAAACACGGGGAAAAAAAACGAGAGATAGTGACACGAAACCAGGTATCCGTGCCGCAGCGAGAGAGGCACGAGACTAAACTAACTCCTCTTCCTCCTCTTTCACTCTTCTCCCTGGCGCCGCTTGTTCAATGGCTGGCTGACTTGCTCCCTGGGCTCGTTGGCTTGTTTCTCGCTCATTGCCTTCACCAACCATAGTTCATATATGGAAGTCTTTACCGTGCCCATGCCAGACTCCACAAGGTTCGTTTGTGTGTTCTTGCCCCTTTTATTTTTTCCCCTACTGTGGCCCTTGGACTGTGCATGCTGTTGCATTCCTTAGGGTAGTGATTGCACTTATTGCATTTTCTTTTCTTTATTTCTCCCTTTCTTAGACTGGCATAACAGGTTTAGAGGTTTAAGGTTTTTATGTTTGTGTCTTTGTTTCCTTTTTTTGAATACACAGAAAATGCTGTTGCACATTCATCCCTCAGGTAGTTTGAATATATATTTGTGTGTGTGTGTGTGTGTGTGTGTGTGTGTGTGTGTGTGTGTGTGTGTGTGTGTGTGTGTGTGTGTGTGTGTGTGTGTGTGTGTGTGTGGTTGTGTGTGTGCATGCGTGCGTGCACATATACTTATGCACATAAACACACATACACATATACACACACACACACATACACACATACACACATATATACACAGATGATTACGTATGTATGTGTATATTGCTTACTGCATTTGTGCATTTGTTTATGTAGGTGGTGATGGCTTGAAACTTCAGCATCTTTATTTTCTACTTCTCTTTTTCCCACTGTAAAGGAGCTTTGATTCATACTTTTCTCATTTTACAATATTGCATCAAAAGCAGGGAGTTGAATTGTAGGAGATGTTGTACATGATATATGTGAAGGGACAGCTTCTCATTGATAAATTCACTGTCTAGGTGTATTTTAGGAATAGCTTCAAAACATGTCCTGTTTCATTGAACCTTCTGCATGTTTATAAATAAAACTTTTTTTACAGTAATATTTTTTTTTACCAGTTGATTAATAAAAGAATTCACCAGTATGATTTTCTTTATGTAATGTGGTTAGTTGTTTTTGTAAAACTGCATTTCAGACATAGTGTCACAAAAGTCATTACAAAACCTTCTAAAAGGGATTTAGGTAAATGTATATTGCTTAGAAAGATGATAAAAAATGTAAAACCTGGGAGAAGGCAAGTGCTGCAGTTATTTATTTATTTATTTATTTTATTTATTTTTTTATTCATTAATTATTTTTATTTTTTTTAGCATTTTGTGTATGGAGTGAAGTTTTTATCATGCTTGTTAGAGTTTTTTTTGCATGAAGTAGTTGAAAAAAGTTCATTAGGTAATTTTTCTTGCATCACTACCTTAAATCTGGAATTTTTTTGTTTAGTGCTATACACAAAATTTAATGCATAATTATATATATATATATATATATATATATATATATATATATATATATATATATATATATATATATATATATATATATATATAATGTTGTATGTATGTATGTAATATAGACATCCTTTTGACAATGCAGACTCTTTTTGGACATGTAATATTAGAAGGAACCAATTCCATTTGTTTATAGTAAGTTAATTATTGATTTTTTCTTGAAAATATATCTTGTATGGATATATGTATGTGTGAGAGAGTGTGCGTGTTTGTGTGTGTGCGTGTGTGTGTGTGCGTGTGTGTGTGCGTGTGTGTGTGTGTGTGTGTGTGTGTGTGTGTGTGTGTGTGTGTGTGTGTGTGTGTGTGTGTGTTTTTGTGTGTGTGTCTATACACATTCCTAAGCGTGCATGCATGTATGAATTTTTTTTTACCCCCCTTGTTTTGTTATTCATTTAGCCATCTCTTCAAAAAACATTATTTGATAGTACAAAATTTACTCATTCCAGTACTTGAAAAGTGATCAGAATACAGAATATTAGGTTAAAAATGAATGAGCATGATATGAGCTGCCGTTGCTTAGCGTGGATAACATATTAATGTATATTGTTCTGCATCATATGATATATATGTAAGATTTCCTATTATGTAAGAGTTATGTCAATGAAAAGATAAATTTCCCTAACCATGAAAGCTAAATCTAGTAGCAGAACAATTTTCTTAAGTTAACTCTCTGGTCTCTGGTCCAACCCTAGAAGTGAGCGGCTCTGGAAGCAGCAGCTCGAGACACAGTTCTGAAACAGGAGGCGACTCCCGTAGAGGTGCTGGTGGCTCCGAGGACTATGCCGAGATTGTGGATGATGAGGGAGATTACTCAACACCAGCAAGTAAGTGTAGGGAGGAGGGGTTTCTCTTGGAGATTTTGCTTTTTTTTAAATGACCGAGGGGGAGGAAGGGAGATTTCCTGTACCATCTCTCTCTCTCTCTTTCTCTTTCTCTGCGTAAGTATATATTTTTATTTATTTATTCATTTATTTATATAGATTTTTTTTCCCAAGGAAGGGTGGTTAGTTGTTTGTCATGTGTAGTTTATAGAATTAAACTATTGGTAAATATGAACACCCATATTTAGTTTATCCTTATATTTATATATATATATATATATAATACATAAATATAATGATATATATGATATATAAATGTAGAATATCAAATCTCTAACCGAACAAATCCCTTTCACAGCCAAAGACTATGAACTAGAGAGGAATAGCATAGACGTTGGGGAGATCATCGGCGAGGGTCAGTTTGGCGATGTGCACACTGGGATGTACAGACACCGTGATGGCTCCAATGTCGCTGTGGCCATCAAAACGTGCAAGGTGGAGTCAGAGGGAACAATGGCTGAGAAGTTCTTGGAGGAAGCCTGTGAGTTTTGTGCGGTGACTTGTTTTGTGACATTTCAATTTTGGGTGGTGGGCCTTTGATAGAGGGATAGCAAACTGTTTCTTGTGAAGATTATATTTATGTGATTTATGGTATATTGTTTACTTGTGTGTATACATAAATACATGCACACATACATGTATAATTATGTGTATAAGTAATAAAATATGATTGTTTTCTTCCAACAGACATTATGCAACAGTTTGACCATCCATACATTATCAAGCTCATAGGTATATGCTCAGACTCTCCCATTTGGATAGTGATGGAACTAGCTCGATATGGAGAGATGCGAGCGTATTTACAAAACAACAAGGATAGATTAAGTCTGGCCACCCTAGTCCTATATGCCTTTCAGCTTTCCACAGCTCTCTCATACTTGGAGAGCAAGAAGTTTGTACACAGGTAAGTTCTGACTTCTGTTTTTGCAGTTATTTGGTTATATTGATTAATAAACTTTGATGTATCACCTGAAGAACAGAGCTTTGAGTAAGGTAGCAATGATATTGATTTGTGTAATCCAGATGGTTTAATCCAGGGCCACACATCCATGAAATCTTTAAAATGTGCACACTTCAGACTTCACTTTTCTTTGATCTGCAGGGATATTGCCGCCCGAAACGTATTGGTTTACTCCCACGATTGTGTTAAGCTGGCAGACTTTGGCCTGTCTCGGTGGGTTGAGGAACAGAGCTACTACAAGGCCAGCAAAGGGAAGCTACCCATCAAATGGATGGCTCCTGAGTCAATAAACTTTAGGAGATTTACCAGCTACAGTGATGTTTGGATGTTTGGTATGTTGTCATGTTTCTTGGGCTTTGGTGCTGCATGTTATGTGTATGTTGGTACTGACAAACACTTTACTTGTAAGGATAATGTTGGAAACAGATCTTGAATTATGAACTCAATGACATATTGTATTTTTCCTTCCATTTGATAAAGTGCTAAATGGGAAACAAATGTTGAATCTGCATGATAACAAAACTGCTTTCACAGGTGTATGCATGTGGGAGATTTTGATGCTGGGAGTCAAACCGTTCCAAGGTGTCAAGAATAACGATGTAATCAAGCGAATTGAGAATGGAGAGAGATTAGCTCTCCCTCCCAACTGCCCTCCCCGACTCTACTCCTTGATGTCTCACTGTTGGATGTACGAGCCCATAAAGAGACCGTCCTTTAAACACATCAAAGAAGACTTGAGGTATGTTGTAGTCTTCTCCTTCCTCTTTTCTTGTAAATCTTGTAAAATCTTTCACTTTTCTATTAGCTTTCACTTGAAAATGACATTCCTTTCAAAGTCTCATATAAAAAACAGACTGTATTATTTGCCTATCTTTTATAGTGAGATTCTCAGAGAAGAGAGAACACAGCAGCATGAGACCATGAGAAGAGAAAACAGACGAGTTCAAGGCATGTCTTGGGGTGAGTATATTTGCCCTTCCTTCATATATTCTATTCCCCTTGAAATTGCAAGTTGAAAATTCAAGTGAATATATTCCTTGGAATCTGATGTGAATTTCATCCCAGATAAATCAGACAGAATAGGGTTGTTTTCATTTTATTAACTGTAGTTATGCTAATCATTAGTTTAGAGAATATTATTTGAATCAGAAAGACTTGTAAGAATTATAATTAAAAATTATAAAATTACATCATGTAACAATTCATATTTGTGTCCTCAAAGGATCTGATGAGCCTCCACCCAAACCATCGCGAGTCCCAATGATGTCTGGTGGCCGTGGACACACCGCCACACCCCCCCCACCTTCTGGTTCAGGCCTGGGCTCCCCACCTCTCTACGCTCCCTCGCAGGTCAGTAGCAGTGGCCCAACCACCTACATCGTCGCCCAGAACCCCGAAGTACTCAGTCAACTGATGCGAGACAACCACAACCGGGCAGCCAACGCTCCCGGCTCCTACAACTCCCCAGCCTCAGTGCTCAACACCCTCCCTGTCGACTTCCTTACCTCCCCTCGTTCCCCTCCTGCTACAGGATCTTCCCAGTCTAATCCCCATTCCCCCTTTTCCACCCTCTCACATCCCCACTCCTCCCATTCGCTGCCGCCCCACCATAGTGGAGGAGGCAGTGGAGGTGGCCAGTATTCCCCACACTCCACCCTGTCGGCCCCACACTCTCCCCTGGGCTCTCCCGTGGGCGCCTCAGCACGTCGACGTGGAGGCCGGGGGAGCACCTTAGAGCGGGGGGCCTCGGCAGCCTCAGCAGGGGGAGGAGGCTGGGGAGGAGCCAGCTCGGGCGGTTCGGGGTCTCCTTCGCCCGTACCCTTCTCGCCACCGTCTACGCTAGTCAAGGTTGGGTTGTATTATTGGTGAAGGCACGAGAGGCTCATGATGCACGCCCTAGAACTGCCATAGCACCAGCATGCGTGGTGTGTCAGCATGGGGGGTAGGGTAGGCAAGAGGCAAGAGCTGGTAGTTCACCCACACCCATCTCTCTCTTGTTCACACATACTCGTGCAACTATGAACACCTTTCCTCCATAGGCATTAGTTTGGTTGTAATCTCATAGACGTCTGTGGACTGTTCTCTTTAGGTATGATTTATTTCACCAATTGGTTCCTCATCTACATTCCTTTGTAGACTCAGGAAAGTGTTTTGTCTACTTAGGCAAATTTTTTTGCTTATTTACATGTACTGTCTTTCAAATTGGCAATGACTGACATGAACAGACACATTCTTTGGCTTTCCTCACTTTGATATTATACAGTTCACTGAGATATGATGATTAATAAGAAATATACAGTTATATGAGAGAGCTATTACATGAGTGAATGGCAGTTTGACCAACATTATAATTTGCACCTTTACTGACATTAATTATACTGATACAAGAGCTATCTAATATGAATATACAGCATGTGATCTGACACAACACATGTTAGGGAGGTGATGTGGGTGCACTATCTTAGTGTTCCAGGAGTGCATTTTAAGATTTCTATTTTGCTACTTGAAATAGTGTGATCTAGGTACTGAAGATAGATACCTCGCACTTTAGAGTATGCTAGAGAGAGAGAGAAAAAATAAAGCCCTCTTTTCTACCCAAACAAACAAAACAAAGACACCAACTCTGAACCCCAAGCCATCCACCTCAGGCAAGCATCAATAGCAAATGGCATGAACTCCTTGTCGTAAGTAAAGTTTTGTATGATTTTGACTCGTTTTTTTCCCTCTTTGTTTGAGGTATTGATGAGTTAATTTCATTTAGGATTTTATTTCATTTTTATTTTATTATTTTATTTTTATTATTATGCATAGAGAATAGTGATTTGCATATCAAAGGTAAAAATAAAAGGGGGTAAAAAAATGCTAAGTACCCAGTGGTCTAACATACAGAGCAAAGAAAATCTAGACCTTGCTGGTAAGGTTTTATATGCATTTCACAAACTGCAACCCAATGGGATAAAGTTCTTGGTACATGAAGGAAGATCAGATCTCAGTAACTACTTACTTCCCTTTGAACTGTCAGAGAAGAAACCAGAAACCTTTATTTTTTATCAACTTCCTTCTGGTGCTGTGAACTTTACTCTTGATTACTGTGTGATCCTTTTGTTTTTAATTTCTTTTGTTTTACCTTTTTTTTTTTTGTTTTTTGTTTTTATTCACTTGTTTATTTTACCTTCGATCCTTCCCCAATCCTTGTCCTGTAACATATAACCCCTTATTTTTCAGGGTGAGCATTTATAAACCAAAAAATCCTAATAACTGCCCCTTAATATTGTCTTATTTAAACCTTTAATATCCCTGTAAATAACGTTAGTCTTGGAGTGTGCATTTCCCAAGTACATTAATTTTTCCACTCTTGTTTTTATTTTTTGTATTTTTCTCCTTTGTTTCCAGTTTTGTTCTGTAGAGGCTTGAGTGTTTATTATTTTATAGTCTTGTTTTATAAAATTTTATTCTCTTGCACTTGTTTATATAGCACATGCTTTAAAGCCACCGTTAGATCACAATATATATGTTGAGCCATAGTCACCTTGAAAGTGCTTTCCATTGTATAAATCTAGATGTCAGACAGTCTGTACAGTTTAAATTTGTGTCTTAGTTGCTAGATATATGTGTTTATACTATATTAGCATATATATTTTGTATAGCAATAGTTATTACCTTTTATCAGGTTTTAGTATGATTTATATGTGCATATATAATTGCATGTTTTTACAGTTGTATGTGGATTTATATATATATATATATATATATGTGTGTGTGTGTGTATGTGCGTGCGTGTGTGTGTGCGTGTGTGTGTGTGTCTGTCTATATATATATATATATATATATATATATATATATATATATATATATATATATATATATATATATATATATATAAAATATTTATTCATATTTATATGCTTTATATATTTATATATGTATATATAAATGTGTTTTCAGAATGTATACAAAACAATTTTTATTTTTTAAGATGAGTTGTTCAGTTGTTTTGTTTTAAAGCCCCAATTTTTGCTCCATGGAATATTGCATTATTGACATATGTTGAATTTTCTTTTCATTCTGTGTCTCATGAAAATCCATATAGTTTTCCATCTGTTGAGGCCTTTCCATTGCTTCCCTCCACCCTTAAAAAAAAGTACATGCCTTGGAGAATATACCAGACATATCATTATTTATACCAGATGTTTTATGATAAACATCCATGCCAGACAGGGCTCATCAACCAGCAAACAACTTACTTTTGTTTTCTTCAACTTTAGCGTCAGGGGAGCCACCAGAGTGACTCGGGAGACATGATGAGTGGCGCAGGAAGTTTAGGGGGCTCCTCTGGCTTTGGGGGAGCTGTGACCTCAGCTGATGTTGCTGAGCTGCAGCACAGGCTCTTGGAGCAGAGATTACGGCAACAGCAAAAGCAGACAGAGGAAGACAACCGATGGCTAGCTCATGAGGAAAACAATATGGTTAGCGTCATTGCTGCATTATCATAGCATTTTTTGTTGTCATTGTCATGAGATTATGAACAATATTTCTTGGATATTACTTCCAAAAAGCTAAATGAATAACTAAATAGTTTAAATGTAACTCTTATACAATTTTTCATGTGCCTAATGATTTTCCACCACAGCGTAAACGCATGTCCTTCGCCACAAGTGCATCGGATAAGTCGGACTCTGACAGTGAGTCCCCAGTAACACACCACCCTCCTTCCTCACCTTCACCTGCCCAGTCAGAAGAGATCCGTGAGAGATCGGCAACTCCTCTCTCAAATGGATCAGGTTCCGCCGTGGAAGAGCCAAAGATTGTTGTAAAGGTATGTGGAATATGATGTAGTTTTCACCACAGCATTAGACATGTTGATACACTTATATTGTGGTGTTAATTTTCAGTCTGACTGCTTTATGATCTGACCATTTTGCTCTCCTTTCTTACAGCAAGTAGAACCAACCCCAACAGCTGATCTAGACCGTAGCAATGACAAGGTTTATGAATCCACAATTCATGTTGTGAAGGCAATCACTGCTCTCACTCATGATGTGAAGGAAGGACAAGCACATGTCTACCTGGACCATGTAAAGAAGGTTGGTCATGAACTTAGGGATTTGCTGGCAACAGTGGACACTCTCATGACAGCCATCCCTCCTTCATCACACAGAGAGGTTAGTGGAATTGTGGAACTTGGTTGGAATGCTGAACTGCAATAAGCTGAAATTATTCATTTTTGATGTGTTTATTGAATAGAAATTGTGGCATTAATGCCTAGAATGAAGACTTTATAATTTCATTTTTTCTAATTTTAAGATTGAAAGCTTGATTTTGTTAAGAACGATAATGTTTCCTGTCTTCTCTTACATGAAAGCAATAAAGAAGAGGGATTTCATAAAGTATTATTTATTTAGCTATGGGTGGAAGAGGTTACACTTAATAAAATAACTACCAAAAAGAATTTAATTAGGGGAATGAGAAGAGACCTTCATTTGTACTTCTTTGTTTACAGGTTGAGTTGGCTCATAAGGTGCTATCCAAAGACATGACAGATCTGGTACAAGCATACAAACTAGCCCAAAAGTATGGCAGCACTACATTGGATGAAGAGTACCGAAAGTAAGTGATTTTCTAAAAGAGGAGTTGTTGAATTTTTGAAGATCAGTAAAAGTAATTCCTTAGTCTTCCCTGGCAGCCATATTAATATACATTTATTTTTTCTTTATTTCAGGCGAATGTTGTCTGCTGCTCATGTCTTAGCCATGGATTCCAAGAACTTACTGGACGTCATAGATGGTGTTAGAATTAGACACGGCCTAGCTACCTACCTGCCTTCAAAACATTCCGCTGTGTGATCTTATCCATGGCAGTCAACACCTGAACTCGCCTTGAATGCATGATGGATAACTGTCGAGAGCCCACAAATGACAAAGCAGTTCATGAGCAAATATGAGATGTATATCTGGTATTCACTCTTTTCTTATTTGTGTGTTTTGGTTACTGGAACCATCATCAGGAAGCTTTGACCAAGTAAAATGCTTGCTGGGAAAGCATTCACGAAAATCCAAAGACTATACTTTTTTTTCTTTTTTTTTTTTCATTCCTTTTTTTTTTTTTTTCTTTCTTTTTTTTACTTTTTTTTATAACACTGTTACAAGTGATAAAGGAAACCAAGGTGGGAATCGGTGTTTTCTGATCTCCATTGATGATTACACTGAATCTAGAGTGCATTTTCTCTTAAGATGTCTGTGGAGCAGATGAAGGATGTTAGCCCCAGCCCCTTTTATTACTAGGGTTGGGTGTGTATATTATAGTCAGTACCACTAGACCTTTGTGTGATTGCTACCATTATCTGGAGGTGATGACCCAGGTTGTTGTCCGCAGGGTATTTCTATTCCATAAGACTCATCACAAATGGGTGTCTGAAGTAAGATAATGAGAAACTACTGCTGGAAGTGCTCCCCTGGTGTATGTATATGACATTCAATTAATTAAATCTCATGTATATTATAACAACAATACTAGATAACATGTCTTCTTATCTGTCTTAGGCAGAATTCATAAATGATTCATGTTCATTTTTGCTTCCTTTTTGGGTAGCAGTTAGATTTTTTCCAGTGGCAACTATATGCCAGTAACTTCAGTTGTCAAAGTCAGTCGTAAAAAGATAATAAATAATAATAGAAAAAAAATATTCCTCCCCCCACATTATCACCACTACCCCAAGAAAATCAAATAAAGCAATCAAACTTGTACTTCCAAGACAACTTTTAAGGTATTTTCATATGAAACTTACAGGGGCAAAAGTTTTTAAAAAGTGGTCACCAATCATTTATGAATGTCCCATGTTGATGGCATGTCTTTTGTGTCAAAGCTTGCTGCTCTTTAGTCATGAAGATCCTAAGACATCACCAGATTCTCTAGGGTCGTTGATTTAGCTGTAGTAGAATCGCCTTTTGTTACTCAGAGGAGAGAAAAGTGATCAAGACTTGCTTTAATTCCAGTGTGAAGTTCTTTGGACATTTTTTTTGCTCCGATGAGGGAAATGCGCTTCTCGTGTTTTTTTGTGGCAGAGTTGCAAGCTCTTGTATGTACTCTTTACTCACTGTCTGATATATATATATGAATATGTACTATATGATTTTTGTGGTGTAAATATTAATCTAGTTCACTGCGTGTAATTATTTAATTTGACGGTCTCAAATGAATAAAGAATATTGACCCAGTACTTTTTGACTTAATAAACCTGTGGCAACACTTCAGCATGACTAACAGACTAGGTGATGTAAGAAATACAATAATACATATATTTTGTGGTTTATTATCAATCAGATAACAAATATTATCCTATTATCAAACAATGATAAAAAATATATTGTACTGTGAGCTATTCAGCAATACTAAGTTCAGTAGTACATCACTTACATAAATCTTGCCTATCATTTTACATTTGTTTTGCCATTAACTGATGAAAGATCCATCAACTAAGTAGTCTACAGTTAGATTCACAATTTATGCATTCAAAATGTTCAAGAAACATACAGTATGTATAATAAACTTATGGTCAAGGGTAACGACTAAAACATTTTAGAGGTCTAGGAACTGTGCATTTTAAATTTCCTTTTTTTCTCTTGCTTGCACAGATAACCAGGGAAAAACACTTCCATTTAGAGACACTTAGTGTCTAATCAAGGAAGGCTACCTGGGTTAAAGGTAAAAATATTGTCAAAAATATCAAAAAGTAAATTATATAGTTACATAATTCACTTTGAATTTCGTGAATTCTACCTCATTTTCATCTATTTTTTCTAAAGTATACTCCATATATATGAAATGTAACCCAGCTGATGCAAGAAACTGACACTGTTTCTTTCCTATTGCAGTTGTTTCATTTTATCTTTGTACACAAGCTTTGTATGGTTATATTCATACATATGTATGTATTGAAGGATACAGACTATAACACATAAATCTATACACTATAGATGAGCAAATTTCCTGATACTATACATAATTCAAGAGTAATTTTTTGTGTAATCTTCAGCATAATAAAAGGACACTATATTTCTGAAAAAAATCAAGAATGCTGCTGTCTGCAGACAAAATACTGAACTAATGCAATCCTGGGTAACATTCACTACACATAATCTGACATGCAGAACTAATTCAAGGAACATCAGAAAATTTAGGTAACTTTCGTTATGAGGTTGAAGTGAAGCTTTAATAGAACATTCATGGCTCTTTATGCAATGCCATCTTCAATCGTCAGTGATTTACTTTGTTAAATAAGGAATTATAGATGAGCTTTTTTAGTTTATCAAAGGGGTAATGTCATTGACTATAAGGGATTACTATTCAGGACACATTCTTATTGATATATGAATTGAGCTTCTGTAGACAACACAGTTCATGAGGAAACCTTATAGCCAGACAGATTTTTCTGTGGCTGCCAGGCCCTCATCCCGAAGTCTGGATATGATGGGAAGGTAAATATCACGAGTAAATGGCAGCACCATTCCCCTGCCTTGGATCTCGCCGTCCAGCACCATCTTCGTGGCAATAGCTGCTGGATAACCCACCGTCTTCGCCATCGCAGAGTATCCTGTGGGGTCTCCGTAGCACACCAAGTTGATTCCTCGGAGCTCCTTTCCGCCGTCAGGCCAGTTGATGGTCACTTCGTGTCGCAGCACAATCAGATCACGTTCTCCAGGTTCTGGAAATATATGTTTTTAGGAAATTATAATCCAGAGACAAATGTATTCATATTCTAGTTTTCACTGATGTATGAAGAGATGGATAGATTTATAAACTAAACCATTAAGATTCCAACCTAACAATAAGTCTTCAATTTCACTACTTGGTAAACTATAGAATTAGTAAAAATTACCAAAATCATATTTTAATAACAATTTCTTTTGGCATTCTTTAAGTCAGCCTTGCATACTCACGTAGCGCTAGCCTCTTCGACAGGTAGTGGGAGAGGGTATCCAGAGGAGTGACACACTTAACCACAGGGTCGTCAGTCAGCAGTCCCAGAGCCTCAATGCCAGCCAGTTGAGAATCGTTGTCAACACATTCGGCAACAAGAGCCCTCAGGTTGTCAGGGAAGATATTAGCATCCATTTGGCCCAGCAGGGTACATATCAATTGTTTCTGAAAAAAAATAAAAAGCCTCTTATAGCAGAGCTCCTATAGTAAAACGCATTAGGATATTAACATTCAGTAATGGATTGGATCTTAACACGGGCCGGCCATCCGCCGCCTATTATTAACAAATATTCATCACTCAGTTAAAGCATGCTCCATTTTCATTTCAGTCTTTGTGCAGCGGCAGGAGCCTCGTTTTTGTGACCCTTTTCTTTTTTCTTCTTTTACTCAGCCCAGTGGCCCACTGGGAATTATCCAAATGCCCTACAGCAGTCCAATCCAGAATACATATAACACTCTTTTTCACTGGTACCCGATGCCTGCAGCTCCATCACTCGCACTTACCCATGTGATATCAGGTCCTCCGTGATGTAGCATCGGATGTGGGTTAGGATCAATGAGTCCGAGTTTAATGAGAGCCTTCGCCACCTCAGAGAAGCCCTTGTAGCGCAGTGTACCCCTCAAGATGGTCTGGGCTTCTGTGATACCATACAGGTTTCCATAGACTGTGGAATCCCGGTTGGGGAACCCTTCGAGGGCTAAACCAGGGAGGAATGAGAAGTCTTCAGTTGTGTCCAGAAGAGAACCTCCTGGCGCAACTTCCACAACCTGCAATGTCGTGTTTGATTAGCTTTTATTTTACAAAAACTAAAGAAAAAATAGTGAGACAGAAAAGTTGGCTAGAGGGTTTCACAAAATGCAGAATGTAAATAACTACATTGAGAATTGAACAATACATTATCTTATGGCATATCAACATTTATTTTCCTACATTTTCCAACATATTGAAGAAAATAAGGCAAACAAGGAGCTCTGTAATCATCCTGAAAATTCATGCCGATGATGAGAAATGTTTATTACACTAAGAAAGCCACACAGCCACTTATTTACCTTTCCTTGCTCTAGGTACTTTGCTCCAGCTAGAGTGTTAAGGAGGACACCTCTCGGGCTCCAAGAGAACTTGTAGCGAAGAGGATTGTCTGAAAATTCAGGAGCTGGAAGACCACCGCAGAAAGACACAAAAGATTCGATCTTGCCACCTCCTCTGTGAACCTGTGAAACAATGTTGTTGGTTTTCAACAGCCGTCATTTTTTTTTTTTTTTTTTATTAAATCTCAGTCAAAACAAAATCAAGATACCATGAAGAATCAGATAATTCACAGCCACATTCCAAAGCATGCCATTCAAATATATGAACAGGGTCATAAAGTACACACCTCTTCGAAACATTCAAGTGCGTACAAATGATCAATTCCAGGATCTAAGCCAACTTCATTGACAACAGTTATACCAGCATCAACGGCTGCCTCGTGTAATTCCTTCATGGCTGGTGTACAGTAGGAAGCTGTGACCATGTTAGTCTGCAAATATACATTAGTACTTTCAATATCGTCTTCCTCCTTAATTACGTAACGTAACCTTGATGGTATGACGACAATTAGCTAAAACACTATCGTACATTGTCATCATAATTTATTCACATAATCATTTTGTCATCAAAGCTTGCTAACAAAACAGAAAATAAATACACAGTAAACTAACAAAACTGTAAATCAAACCAATAAAATATATATGTAACACACCTTTGTCTTAATACAATGCTTCGCCACCTCGTGATGGAGGGTGTAAGGAAGGAGAGACACCACGACGTCGGTGTCCTTCACAAGATCCGCCAGAAGGTCAGGTCGTTCCACCACATCCAGGAGAACGGGCTCCACGTTGGAATGTTTTTCTGCCAAGGCGTCGGCTTCATCCTTCAACCCAGAGGCTGTGTGCAATAGTGAAATTGAAGGCGACATTTGTCACTGTATGTTAGGGTAATCAAGACCATTTATACTTTACTTTCAATTTTTACACACGCAAATTCCCTCCTACCTCTTTGTCTGTCTGTCTGTCTGTCTCTGTCTCTCCCTCTCCCATTCCTCCCCCTCTCTCTCTCTCTCTTTCTCCCTCTCTCCCTC